ATGGTCCATTTATTGCAGGCGATACCCAGGAGGTTGCTGCAATGTGTTTCTGGGAGGGCAAGACAATGTGGCAGATGCAACAGGAGAAAAACATCAGCAACGGAGATGATCATTAAAAAAAACAGCAGAATAAGTCACTTTACAGCTTGTAGGGTGGCTGGCTGTATATGCAAGAGGCCCCGCCCACTTCCTTCCTATAGCTAGGCAAGCCCTGGGAATCAACAAGAACCAGCCTAGTAGAGCAGGCAAAATGTCCCAAACTAGGATGGAAGCCAGAGGCTCTGTAAAACAGTGCTAACAATACGGTAAACGCACCGGACCCCAAATAAATAAAAAAAGGAGCCACACAGAATCTTAATCCAGCAGTCGAACCGAAGGACTGCTGTACAGGCTATTCACAATAGCCGTATGGCAGCCAACCGGCTCAGCCGAGACAAACGCATATCCTTCGACTCCGCTGAGCTGAAGTCACAGGCGAAGCGGGGAGAGAATGGTCTGCTCCCCACAAATGTAAAGAGCTGGGCGGAGCCAGCCACATCACGGCTGGCTCAACCCAGTTGTTGTCATTCACTGACAGCCCAGCGTCCTCAGGTTATTTGAGGACACTGGGCTGTTATTAAATGACAACTGGGCGGAGCCAGCTGTGATGTCACAGCGGACTCCGCCCATTTATTTTGCTTTGTCCGGGACCTGCGGAAAAGATTCGGATAGGTGCCAGACAAATGTAATCAGTTGGGCAGAGCTAGCGGTGATGTCACCGCTAGCTCCGCCCAATTGTTCACATTTTGCCAGCATCTGTCCGTGTCTTCACTCTGCAGCGGGAGTGAGTCGCGTGCGGTCGGGGTTTTTCCTTATTATTATTTTTACGAGTGATCGTCATTGTGGACAGCGCTGGACATCGTGATTGACCCTGGATTATGTCGCCGGACCAATTTTTTGGATTTTTATTTTATTACTAAAGGATTTTTTTTTTCTCAAACACCTGGTGTGTCTATTTTTACTTTACTGTTAACCCTTTTTGTGAATGAGTACCCCTTACTTATTCACAAGCGGGGGCAGCATCTGGGTGCCCCTTATTAAAGGGGTAACCTGATGCAGATAAGCCCCCCTCCCCGTAGACCCCCACAACCAACGCCCCAGGGTTTGTGGTGAAGAGGCCCTGGTCTCCATCGGCATGGGGACAAGGTGCTTTTCCAGGTGGGACCCCTGGGAGGGTCGCTCGCTCATCCCCCCCCATACCTTTCCTGCCCAGGGCCGGTGCTAGGATTCTAGGCAAGGTGCATTTTTGGGTCCCCCACCCCCTGTAAAAACAGGGCATTTTGACAAGTACTTGTACTTGTCAAAATGCCCCGATGTTTGCGCTATGTTTTTTTTTTAGGAGAGGGACCCAATGGCGTTTTATTTTTTTCTTCACGTCATTTTTTTTTATTCCGCTTGCTACCTTGAAGGTAGTGAGCAGAATAACTGCTCAGCGGCATTCGGCTATTCACTTACTGCCGATCGGCCCCTATGAGAATAGGGGCGAATGGCAGTGAGTTAACTGCTGGAGGTTCGGCTCAGCCAATCCAGATGTTGGATCGGCTGGGTCGAACGTGATCTTCATTTTGGCACAGCTGAACATATTATAATAAATGGTTGTCATGTAGATGTATTGATCATCTGTATGTAGTAAGCAAAATAATAAAGCAGTATACGGTTATTTAACTCTCACCTAAATGAATGGATTCAGAATGCATTATTCTCCTAGACGAGGGCCAATTCACATGCATATCAAAAATTGTGTGGACTTTTTCCCCTTTAATATAGTAAATTCACTAAACCATGGCCTGGAAAGGAATGGAGTGTCACATGCTGGTATTGAGATCCTAATCCAGGAGCCAACAGGATTTTTTTTTTTTTTTTTAGGAACCAGGTTCATTAACAACAACTAAAGAAACCCTCAAAAAGGTAGATGCAAGATGAAATGTTTAAGGAGCATTGGCTACCTGGCTCCTGAGACTTGTCCAGCCCTGCCATAACCGCACTATGCTTCTGGGATAACTCGCCCATTGCTTTAAGCAAGCAGTGTATTTGTAGGTTGGGGAGAGAGCAGTTTAGAATAATAGTGGGGGATTCGCAGTGATATGGTCACCGGGAGCAAAGGTGTAGTGGTCAGTTCTGTCAATAATGCTCTAGTGACATGTCCCTTGTAGTCCGACTCTAAAAGGGGTGGTCCGGGGATCTGGCTGCGGATAGATCGCATTGTAACACTAAAATACAGCAATAAACAAAAGGACTTAATAGCAACCATTAAGCGAGATACTCCCTCCATGCGTCCCCTGATATCAGTTATTTTTACCACGTTTCTGGTTGTACGTACCATCTACTTTAAAGAATTTTTGATTACTAGTTACATGACAGACTCATAAAAGCCCCTGTATATGTAGAATGTGACAAAGAACCCGCACTCGACCCCCTACCTATAAGTAATTGACCCACCCCAAGAACAAAATTACACATTACTATGGCAGTTTGATGACTGCAGGGCACTGATTAAGTTTTGAGCCGGGAAACATTTGGGGCCTAGCTCCATGGGATTTTTTTTATCCTACTTTACTCTTGTGTTGATTGTTTAATCCCCACCCGACTTCTCAGCTGTGCAACAACTTACTGAAGTAGAATACTAAAAACAGTATACGCCGATCAGTCATAACATTATGACCACCCACCTTATATTGAGTAGGTCCCCATTTTGCCCCCAAAAAAGCCCTGACCCATCAAGGCATGGACTCCACTAGACCGCTGAAAAAATGCTGCGGTATGTGGCGCCAAACTGCCAGTAGCAGATCCTTTAAATCCAGTAGTTATGAGGTGGAGACTCCATGGATCATACTTGTTTGTCCAGCACATCCCACAGATGCTCGATTGGATTGAGAATTTGGAGGCCAAATCAACACCGCAAACTTCTTGTTGTGTTCCTCAAACCATTCTTGAACCATTTTTGCAGTGTTGCAGGGTGCATTATCCTGCTGAGAGAGGCCACTGCCATCAGGAAATAATGTTTACATGAAGGGGTCTACTTGATCAGCAACAATGTTTAGGTAGGTGGTATGTGTCAATGCAACATCCACATGAATGGCACAACCCAAGGTTTCACTGCAGAACATTGCCTAAAGCATCAAACTGTCTCTGCCGGCTCGTCTTCTTCTCATAGTGCATCCTGATGCCATCTCTTCCCCAGGTAAGCAACAGACACGGCCATCCTCATAATGTAAAAATAAGTGACTCATCAGACCAGGCCACTTTCTTCTATATCTGATGCTTACTTACCCATTGTAGGCGCTTTGGAGGTGGACAAGAGTAAGCATGGGCACCCTGAACAGTCTGCAGCTACGCAGCAAACTACAAATGCACTGTGTGATCAGACACCTTTCTAATCGGGGCCAGCATGAACATTTTCAGAAAACTGAGCCACAATAGCTTTTCTATTGGATCGGACTACAGGGGCCAGTCTTCACTCCCAAAATGCATGTGCATGAGCCTTGGCTGCCCATGACCTGTTCACTGATTTTCCTTCCTTGGATCACTTCTGGTAGGTCCTGACCACTGCAGACCAGAAACATCCCCCAAGAGCTGCAGTTTTGGAGTTGCTCTGACTCGGTCGTCTTGCCATCACAGTTTGGTCCTTGTCAAAGTCACTCAAATCCTTACGCTTTCTCTCTTTTGCTGCTTACAACAGGTCAACTTTAGAGACAAAATGTTCACTTGCCCAATATTCCCACCTACTTCCAGGTGTCATTGTAACAAGAACATAAGTTATTTACTCCAGCTCTCAGTGGTCAAAATGTTATGCCTGATCAGTGTATGTCCTGCACCATCTAATGGATTCAGCAGGTGGGAGATCAAGCCTTTGGTCTGTAGTCATCACACTTAAGCTCATTACACATGTTACAAATGTCTGACCATACAATCTTTGCACAATGAATTTTACATTTACCAAAACTAGTTTTTATGAGGACCTTTCTAAACTATCCAGTCAAATAGGCCAATGCACCACATAGCTTTTGATACATATAAAGGAGATTGTACCATGTGTGGTAAAACCCAACTGCTAGACCTTCAGTCTGTGAAACAAGGTCCATGGATTGTATTCAGAACCACACACTGCGGATATGACGTTTTGACCAAAGTGTTCGTTCTCCACACAACATTTTAGAAGGCTAAACAATTCAGATTTTCAACTCTTATGAACCTTGGGATGATCAACAACAAAAACACATATTTAGATAAATTAAATGTTATTTTGCATGTCACAAAGAAAATGCAATATCCAATCCTTTTTTCTGATGCCTCCAGCTCTTAAAAAAACAACAACAAAAACTCCACTGGGCGGAACTGCAGAGTTTACAGAACCATGGAAGGGTGCAATTATTAAAAGTAATAATCAGAATTCATACCAAGTTGACAGGAGGACAGGTTATGCTACTTGATATTACAGGCAAACTTCATTTGGTGTTTTTGGCTTCTAACTGTTCATCTTATCTTTATACTTTGATGCAGATATGTACTTTGCATGTGCAGGATCATACTACATATTCATTCACCTTCAATGTCTGCAGAAATTCAATTCGGTCAGGAGTTTTATCAACTAAAAAAAAGGGCATCTGCATGTTGATACAGGGTGACAAAGAAGTGTTTTACAGGTGTCATGAGAGGACAATAGCAAGATGACGCACAGACTGATATGTCAGATTTATCCTTCCTGGAAAAGTACCGGATTTAAAACGAACATGTTTACATTCACATACAAACAACTGCTGAACATACAGATAGAAATCAACCATCCTCAGGGGCTCCAACACACACCAGCGATGGGCCTCTGACCAGTTTTATCTACAGCAAGAAACAGGTGCAGCTTGCTTCCTTCTTCAGCAGAGGAGTCAAAACATACATGATGTTTAAACTTTCACAACACTGGTGAGGGGGATAAATCATGAGTTTGATAGTTTGGGGTTTTCTTACGTCCTCTACAATTCCAGCAAAACACTTGCTTTGGTATCGACAACGGAGCACCGCCCGCCATGTACGGTGAGATCCAAAAACAGATGAGGATGATGATGATGAACATTGCTTTTCTTTGTTTCTTTATGGGGGAACAATAGCACATTATCTGATGAGGTGTTACCTGCATAGTCTCTGGAACTAGCAAACAAAAGAGGCATCACGGAGGCTATGATGAAGTTAGCAGATGAATGTGGCATTTTGCTTTATGTGAGTGAACAAGCCACACAATCAATCTAAAACTGATGACAGGATAAACTAGGATGTTCCACAGATATGTGATGAAATCCATGATTTGGACATGAAGTGGAAATTGCGCTCCAGGACTAGTAAACAGGCCCAAACCACCAAGAGAATGAAATAGAATACGGTCTTATAAGATGTCTCCAAGTGTCTCTTTCAACCCTGCGGAGATGCTGCTAGGGTTGATCTTCAAATGAGTCCAGCCAGAAGAAACTGACTGTAATTATCAGTTAATTTGTACAGGCTATGTACATTCTACAAGGTTCCTTAGTGCTACACTGTTGTACTTTTTGTCCCTGCAATTTGAGGACGTGCAAATTCCACAAAGTCATCAATGAGAACTGGCCATGCTCCTGAAGAAAAGAAGAAAAAAAAAAAAGAAGGTGCAGTTAGATGATCGGAAGCAGAAAGTGGAAACGTTTGGATTAAACATGTGATTCAATTTATATCCCTCTTTTGGTGTTCAAAGTCTTTCACCCAACCAGTACTTATAAGACTGCTGCCTATTGCGCCTGAACTATCAACAACAGGGTACACGCCTAAAGTCCTAGCTACCATTCCCCACTCGGGGTAACTGCAAGGTTATTATATCTTTAGAAACACATCAGCAGATCCAGGCATGTAATGGAGCTTCTGCTATGCAAATACCACCAAAAAGTCAGTACTTGCACTGTCATTTTAAGGGGCCCCAGGCTACTTTGGATGACAAAGCTAAAGTAAGGGCTATTCTAATGTTCCCTACAGGCACCCATTAAACCATACCTTCTTCATCGTAGTTTGACATATCATCTGCTATCATTGTACTGAAATCTAGTAGAAGGTTCCATGTGTCCTTAGGTATTGATCGTTTATGGTGTTCCTGCAGATAGAAAACAATACATCAAGATGGTTGTCATAAGGCATACCACACTGATCTGATATTTTAAGTGGAGTTTACAACAAACAAACAGACTGCTACCCTTGGCCTCATCAATATACATTCACTGGGATCAAACCGGCTGAATCACATTTCGTTTACCTATATAAAAGTCTTGAAGAAACAGAATTATTTTCACTCAGTAAAGCTCAGAGCTAAAATGTTAGACTTGGTTTACTGAAGTGACACAATGAAGGATAACTTCTGCCTGGTCACTAAACTGTGTGCCCGGATCTGCACCTTACTAAATCAGCCAGAAAATGTTACACTTCACACGACTGACTCCAGTTTATAACATAGGTGGCCTCATACTCTAAAAGCAGTTACTAATATTATGGCTACAAATCATCAAATCTGTTAAACAAAAAGAGGGGAAAAAAACAAAACACAAATCTTACCAATAAAAATGTGTTCCATAAGTCTAGGAATTTGAATCGTCCATTTAGTACTAAATTCCAATAGGCAATGGCCATCTCTAAGTCTGAAAAGTGACAGTTGACATCATTACACAGGGCACTTATTTCCATATGCAAAAGGCTATTAAGGCGGGCCTGTCCGTAACTTTACAAGATCGCGTGAATTACACACCAACAGTAATTTACAATATATATATATATTTTAGATAAATAAATAATTCACCTACAAACAAATAACTACAAAGATCTTTGTGCATATGTCTGGAATACACCATGATGAATCAATGAAAATCCTTCTAAATATTTTTTTATATGTGAATAACATTGATATATATTTTCCTTATATTAAATGATTTCACATTTATGGACACCTTAGAAATCCCATAGTTCTTTGGATCCTTCTAGTCTATGGATTTCAGCGATGTGGTGTCTGGATATATAACAGGGACAGGTGGTTGTTACTTGTAGCAGAAAACATCTGTGCTGTGTAGCCACAAAACTGTAGCTGTCAATGGCTTCCACTGGCAAAACAAGACAAACCACCTGCTGCATTACACAATGCAATGTATCACTATAAGGGCTCATTCAGACAGGCGTGCAGGCCTGTAAAAAGACCCGAGCCCGGAAGGGATGGGTGCTGCATGTAAATGTGAGTAGCAGCCTGTTCTTCCCTATGGGAGGATGCGGCTGCACACAATTACATGCACATCTGTGAGAGTCCGGGTGCCCGTACTTGAACGCACAATGGCTGTAGATCTTCTTACAGATGTGCATAGCCGTCTCAATGAGCCCTAAATGTAGAAACTATACTCTGCATCTCACTTCTGTGTTTGTAGCATTAATCAGTTACAAAATGGGTACAAATATGTAGGGTCAAAAATGTATGTGTACGCTGCACCTCTTTCTAACACATCAGTTGTCATTTCAACATACCTAGACCTTTTTGGCCTGGATTTTTTGCAAAGTTGAATGTAAACTGATAAAAATCCTTAAACCTTCCTTGCTCTTTTAATTCTTGTTCCATTTTCGGTAGCTGTGCTTTTAATTTTTCTATGCTGTCGCACCTGTGAAAAGAGCCGAACAGAAATAATACAAGAAAAGCATTAATCCACTTCTTAAATGACCCTATAGAAGGCGTCATATGAGCCAAATGTCCTCACTGACATGCACAGAAAGCTCCAAATAACAGAACATATTGTAGGATTCAACATATGGTAGAATGTGGCTACAGCTAAAACCAACTCCATATAAATGTCTACACTAGCAATATGGCAGAGACATGAATTGGATTTGTAACAGACACCACAGTACCAGCTACACATATTTACAAATGAGGATACTGAAGGTCATTGCACTTTGTGATATTTCAAAGCACAAGAGGCCAGTAAAGAGGACACGGCAGTGTGATCACATTATGGATGAACTCCAGGCAGTTATATATATTCATGGGGAAAAATTCTAAAAGTAGATCTAAAACTTTTGTTTCTAGTTTTGGATAGAGTAGGGGGGGGGGGGGGGTTGTTTTATCAGACAG